TAATCTGGATTTTATATGGAAATGTAGAAGGACCCTGTTTTTTAATATTGCCATGCCCATAGTGCAAAATAACCAGATTACAAGGAGCCTTGAATGCCATCCTGGAACAAAAGTAGGCTATACATTAAATAAAATGAAATGAAATAAATAAATAGCTCTCTTTTTCTAGAAAGGTAAGAAAAGCCATGCTATAATAATAATAATAATAATAATAATAATAATAATAATAATAATACTTTATTTATACCCCGCTACCATCTCCCAAGGGACTCGGTGCGGCTTACATGAGGCCGAGCCCACAATACATCAATACAAGCAAAAACAACTACAATACAAAGCGAAATACAATTACTAATACGAAGCAATTAAAATAAATCTCATACACAAATAGCATAACATTGAACAGGGACAACAAAACATGTTTAAAACTATGGCTGGGCCAAATGTAATTAAGTTAAAAAATAATGCTGGGCGTGAACAAGATAGAGGAGGTAGGGCGTTGGGGGGAACATACAAGCAGTCCTAAATCAGTATAAAGTGCTTTTGGAGGACATAATGCTAAGGGTTCATTATTTTGGGAATGCACACTGGAACAACCATGTCTTCAAGCTCTTCCTAAAGATTGCCAGAGTTGGGGCATGCCTGGAAGTGAGTTCCAGAGTCGAGGGGCCACCACCGAGAAGGCCCTCTCTCTTGTCCCCACCAATCACGCTTGCGATGCAGGTGGGAGTGCAAGTAGGGCCTCTCGGTTTGTACACAGAAATGCGGTCACGCAGGTAGGCAGGTCCCAAATCGTTCAGGGCTTTGTAGGTAAGAACCTGCACCTTGAATTGGGACCAGAAATGAATGGCAGCCAGTGGAGCTCCTTAAAAAGGAGGGTTGACCGCTCCCTGTAAGGAGCACCAGTTAACAACCTGGCCGCCGCCTGTTGAACCAATTGAAATTTCCGAGCCGTTTTCAAGGGCAGCCCCACATAGAGCACATTACAGTAGTCCAATCTGGAGGTGCTATTCCAATGAGCTTCCAAGAACTTCCTTTTAATGTTCTTTTAGGCCCCTTCCACACAGCAGAATAAAATCTCACATTATCTGCTTTGAACTGGAATTTATTTATTTATTTATTTATTTATTTACGATATTTATAGCCCGCCTTTCTCAGCCATACGGCGACTCAAGGCGGGTTACAGATTGGCACAATTTGATGTCAGGCATTCATAAAAATGCCATTAAAAACAATCAACATTACAATATAAAACATAAATAAAAACAGTTAAAGCATATAATCATTGGTGCCATCTTGTTAAAAACGTTATCCAGTAATCTGGCCATTCCATGTTCACCATTCATAGTTCCATGTTATCTATTCCGCTTCATTCTCAAAAGCTTGCTCAAAGAGCCAGGTTGTTACTTTTTCTCGGAAAGTCAGGAGGGAGGGGGCCGATCTAATATCCCTGGGGAGGGAGTTCCATAGTCGAGGGGCCACCATGGAGAAGGCCCTGTCCTTTGTCTCTGCCAATCGCACTTGTGACAAAGGTGGGATCGAGAGCAGGGCCTCCCCAGACAATCTTAAGGTCCTAGATGGTTCATAGGAGGAGATACGTTCAGATAGGTAAGCTGGGCCAGAATCGTTTAGGGCTTTGTGGGCTAAAGCCAGCACTTTGGATATATATGGCAGTGTGGGCTCAGATAACCCAATTCAAAGCAGACATTGTGGGATTTTCTGCCTTGATATTCTGGGTTTTATAGCTGGGTGGAACGACCCAGAGTCCACTGTGAATCTTGTTCATTTTGAAGCTGTTCTTTTTATGTATTATTCTAAGATTATCAACAAACGATTGTTGTATGCCACTTTGAATGCACTTTATACATAAAGATTTGGTATAAATTCAAATACCCTTGTTTGAATATATGACATAAGATCGCAAGACCAGAGAGGGACAACATGCCAATTTGCATCACCAATTTGCATCACCCTTCTCTCAAGGTATTTCTCCATTTGCCTCTTTGATCTCATCGGACTTCCTTTGTACTTGAACTGCTGCTATGTTGAGGAATATATCTTCCGTATGAAAGAAATTGCAGACTCAAGGAAAAAGGCATGGATCTGAAAACTGCATTACGCTTGTGGCAAATTTTGATTAGAAGTCAGAAGTCAAGTCCTGAACATGGTGTCTTTCATATCAGTCCTTGCCACTAGATGGCTGTAAAGAAGTAACTGAGGACAAGAAAGAGACTTTAAGGAGGCTGAAGATGCACCTTTTCTGCTGTACTTTGATAGGTTTTAACTGCCATGAATACCTTTTATGCATTGTGAAACCCACAAACGGGGAAAACTTCCCACAACCAACAGAAAATACTTAAGGCCATCCAATCCAACTCCCTTCATCAGGGCAAGAAAACATAATCAAAGCCCTCCTGACAAAGAGCCATCCAGCCATAGATAGATAGATAGATAGATAGATAGATAGATAGATAGATAGATAGATAGATAGTTGTAGTTGCTGGGATTTATAGTTCACCTACAATCAAATAGCATGATAGAATTGAACCAACTGGGCATACAGGACTCCCATGACCAACAGAAAACACTAGAAGGGTTTGGTGGGCATTGACCTTGAGTTTGGGAGTTGTAGTTCACCTACATCCAGAGAGCACTGTGGACTCAAACAATGATGGATCTGGACCAAACTTGGCACGAATGTTCCATAAGCTCAAATATGAACACAGATGGAAGTTGGGGGAAATAGACCTTGACATTTGGGAGTTGGGGTTACTGGGATTTATAGTTCACCTACAATCAAAGAGCAGTCTGAACTCCTCCAACAACAGAATTGGGCCAAACTTCCCACACAGAACCCCCATGACCATAGAAAATAACAAGGCCATCCAGTCCAACTCCCTTCACCAGGGCAAGAAAACGTAATCAAAGCCCTACTGACAAAGAGCCATCCAGCCATATATATAATTAGCTGTCCCCTGCCATGTGTTGCTGTGGCCCAGTCTGGTGATCTGGAAAATAAAGTAATGAGAAAGTGTTGGTTTCTAATATATGTTTCTTTATGCTTGTGGGTAAACAGTATTTCTTGCTGTTTCTTTGTCAGTGTTGATGTGGAGTGTCTGGTTTGCCCACCCTGGAACATGCAACATATCATTGTCCTTCTTTAAGGGTCCCTTTCAAATCTATGATGCTATATCTCTGTCTGTGTGAATCATATCTATCTCTATCTATCTATCTATCTATCTATCTATCTATCTATCTATGGTTGGATGGCTCTTTGTCAGGAGGACGTTGATTACCTTTTCTTCCCTGATGAAGGGAGTTGGATTGGATGGCCTTGAGTATTTTCTGTTGGTTGTGGGAAGTTTTCCCCGATTCTGTCGTTCGTGGGATTCAGAATGCTCTTTGATTGTAGGTGAACTGTGAATCCCAGTGACTACAACTCCCAAATGTCAAGGTCTATTTCCCCCAAACTCCAACTGTGTTCACATTTAGGCGTATTGAGTGCTTGTGCCAAGTTTGGTCCAGATCCATCATTGTTTGAGTCCACAGTGCTCTCTGGATGTAGGTGAACTACAACTCCCAAACTCAAGGTCAATGTCCACCAAACCCTTCCAATATTTTCTTATTTATTTATTTATTTAACTTGTATACCGCTACTCCCAATTTGGCTCGGAGCGGTTTACAGAAACAGATTAAAACAATACAATTAGCTTTAAAAATAACCATAACAATAACAATAGGCAGCGAGAACAGGCATAGCCCGGGTTGTTCACCCATCAAAAGCTTGCCAGAAAAGAAAAGTTTTACAGGCTTTCCGAAAAGCAAGTAGGTCTCAGATGGTTCAAGTTTCGACCAGCAAGGCATTCCATAAGTAAGGGGCTATGATTGAGAAGGCTCCATGCCTAGTAGATGACAAATGATAGGTCTGGATGTTAAGGACTGCAAGCAGATTTTGGTCTTCAGACCGGAGTAATCTCTGGGGTTGGTAGGGGGATAAGCGGGCCCTCAGGTACGCCCACCCCAGACCATATAAGGCCTTAAAGATTAAGGCCTTTAGAAGGGCATCTACACTCAGGGGCGGCTCGTCCATTACGTGAAGTAAGCGGTCGCAGAACACTTTTTTTGCCAGGGGCGCAGAGGCGCCTCTGTAAATGCCCCTCGACTGCCACTTGAGGAGATCCTCTTCCCAAAGGGGCCGGGCCCTTGAGCCTCGCCTAGCCCCTCTCGTTCCTGCTCCACCTGGCCACCAGGTGCGCGAGCAGAGCCGGCGCTCAATCGTTCTCCGCGTTCGATCCCTTCCCCATGACCGGCTCCCTTTCCCGATCCCCCAGCGCTCCACCCGCCTCCTCTCCTCTCCCCAATCCGCGGGTGGGCCAAGGGGCGGAGCCGCCGTGCCTGGCCCGCTTCGGGTCCGGAGGCGTGTCTGAAGACCCCAGCGTGCGCACCAAAAGTCGCCTCTTCTCCTGACTTTCTCTTCAGCCATTGGGACCAAGAGAGAGAGAGAGAGAGAGAGAGCCCTCCGGCTGGAGGTATCTCCCACCTCCGCTCCCTCCTTTGTTTTTGCGCCTACCTTCAGGAAAGGTGGGCATCTCCACCTCTCTCTCTCTCAGTCCCAATGGCTGAGGAGAAAGTCAGGAGAAGAGGTGACTTTTGGTGCACACGCCGGGGTCTTTAGAAAGCAAATGCGGCAAAGTGAACTATTACTGGGATGTATAGTTCACCTACAATCAAAGAGCATTCTGAACTCCACCAATGATGGAATTGAACCAAATATGGCACACAGAACTCCCACGACAAACAGAAAATATATATCAGTGATTGGTTGGGGGGGGGGGCAAAATACTGTTTGCTTACCGTTGAAAATTACCTAGGGCCGCCTCTGTTAACAAGTCTATTATTATTATTATTATTATTATTATTATTATTATTATTATTATTATATTATTATTATTATTATTATTATTATTATTATTATTCTGTGAGTGAGGCTGGCGGCCACCTCAGAGGTCACCCGGGCCTGTCTGGGGCGCCTCTCCAGCCTGGCGCTGGCCCCGCCCCTCCCGACCTCCCAAAGGCGCGGTGACGCCGCCAAGGATGCTGCTGGGCGGCGGCGGAGGAGAAGGAGAAGGGAGATGCAGGCGGCGAAGCGGAGGGAGGCGGGGGCCCCCGGAGGACCATCGGCGCCCCCCGGAGAAGGCAAGCCCTCCCGGCGCATTGGGCGAGGGGCCCCCGGGCGCAGGTCCCCCGCACGGAGCGGGCCCCGAAGCAAGATCGCCCCTCCGGCCTCCCTTCCCAGCCCCGGACCCAGGAGCCTCAGGAGGTGAGAGGCTTGGGAGGGGAAGGGGAAGGAGAAGGGGGCGGGGGCCACCCTGGCCTGTTTGGGAAGGACTGACATCACCCTGCCTGAGCCCATCGCCTTAGAATAACATCTCTATCCTCTGACTTGGATTCTGAGCCCATACATTTCCCTCACTGTCATATTATCATCCAATTCCAGAATATAGCTTTACTGCATCCAACTGGATTATATCCATCGGATTCAATCTCAGGCCCCTTCCACACATCTGAATGAAACCCCACATTATCTGCTTTGAATTGGGATATATGGTAGCATGGACTCAGCCCAGTTCAAAGCAGATATTGTGTGATTTTCTGCCTTGATATTCTAGGTTATATGGCCTAGGAAGGGCCCTCAAGGTGCTTTAAATCAGTCTACACTGCCCTACAATCCAGATCTGTCCACATTCTGAAACTGGATCATGGGGCAATGTTAGCCCCCATTTGTACTACGAAATAAAATCAAGATGATCTGTGTTGAATTGGATTATATGGCAATGTAGACTCCTATAATCCAGTTCAAAGCAGATCATGTTTTAGGGCCTTAGTACAGTCCATGTTATAGGGCAATGTCAGTCCCCATCCACACTGCAAAATAAAATCCAGGTTATCTGCTTTGAACTGGATTATAGGACAGTGTAGACTCTTATAATCCAATTCAAAGCAGATCATGTTTTAGGGTCTTAGTAAAATCTATTTTATGGGGCAGTGTCATCCCCCATCCACACTGCAATATAAAATCCAGATTATCTGCTTTGAACTGGATTATATGGCAATGTAGACTCCTATAATCCAGTTCAAAGCAGATCATGTTTTTAGGGTCTTAGCACAATCCATGTTATGGGGCAATGTCATCCCCTATCCAGAGGTGGCCCTAGGTAATTTTCAACTGTAAGCAAACTGTATTTTGGCACACCCCCCCCCCCAACCAATCACTGATATATATTTTCTGTTCGTTGTGGGAGTTCTGTGTGCCATATTTGGTTCAATTCCATCATTGGTGGAGTTCAGAATGCTCTTTGATTGTAGGTGAACTATACATCCCAGTAACTACAACTTGCATATGTCAAGGTCTATTTCCCCCCAAGAGCGCCCCTGGGCAAAATCAATTATACTGCAAATGCTTACAATGGGTTGAGCAGCCCCTGCCTCTATCCGCACTGCAAAATAAAATCCAGATTATCTGCTTCAAACTGGATAATAGAGCAGTGTAGACTCCTATAATCCAGCTCAAAGCAGTGGACTCAAACAATGCGCATATGGAGTATTCATGCCAAGTCTGGTCCAGATCCATCATTGTTTGAGTCCACAGTGCTCTCTGGATGTAGGTGAACTACAATTCCAAAACTCAAGGTTAATGCCCACCAAACCCTTCCAGTATTTTCTGTTGGTCATGGGAGTTCTGTGTGCCAAGTTTGGTTCAATTCCATCATTAGTGCGTTCAGAATGCTCTTTGATTGTAGGTGAATCATAAATCCCAGCAACTAGAACCCCCAAATGACAAAATCAATCCCTCCTCAATCCAACCAGTATTCAAATTTGAGCACATTGGGTATTTGTGCCAAATTTGGTGTATTGTTTCAGGGGCTCAATCTCAAAGTTCAATGGGGCAAAATATGACAGTATTTTTATTTTATACTAGCTGTCCCCTGCCACGTGTTGCTGTGGCCCAGTCTGGTGATCTGGAAAATAAAGTAATGAGAAAGTGTTGGTTTCTAATATATGTAATGTCTTTCTGCTTGTGGGTAAACAGTATTTCTTGCTGTTTCTTTGCCAGTGTTGATGTGGAGAGTGTCTGGTTTGCCTACTCTGGAACATGCCACATATCATTGCTCTTCTTTAGAGGCCCCTTTCAAATCTTTGATACTGCATCTGTCATATACATATATGTGTGTCTGTGAATGGCTGAATGGCTCTTTGTCAGGATGGCTTTGATTATGTTTTCTTGCCCTGGTGAAGGGAGTTGGACTGGATGGCCTTAAAGCAGCATTTCTCCACCTGGGAAGTCAAGACTCTGGGGGACACTGGGGGGAGGGGACAGAAGGGTCACCAAAGACCACCAGAAAGCACAGTATTTTCTGTTGGTCATGAGGTTTCTGTGTGGGAAGTTTGCCCCAATTCTGTCATTGGTGGGATTCAGAATGCTCCTTGGTTGTAGGAGAACTATAAATCCCAGTAACTACAACTCCCAAATGTCAAGATCTATTTCCCTCAAAGACAGAGAGAGAGAAGAGAGAGAGAGAAAGGGAGGGAGAAATCCATCCCTAGGAAAGGAAATTCACTCCTGAAAGAGTTATCACCAAGAAAGGTGTCTCCACTGAAGCCTGATCACCAATCCTTGTTTCTACAACAAGCCACATTTTTTCAAAATCCAACGATCACAGCAACAGAAACTTCTGAACAGGGGTATAGACAGCAAAACAAACACCATAGGGGTGTTAACCCTTTCTAATGCTGTCCAAAGATGAAAAGAGATATACGTATATTTGACTGGAATGACACATAGGAATGTACCTGGTCTAACAAATTCAACTTAAGAACAAACCTACAGAAGCTGTCTTGTTTGTAGCTTGAGGACGTCCTATATCGCAAAGTAGCTTATAAAACTCTATAGGGAATCCTGAAGAGGTTCAATCATATATATATATTTGGTCTGTAATATTTATATTTATCCTTCTGGTTTAAACCACTTGTATTTTGAGATGCAAGATTAAGGCCATTACAGATGCAGATATTCATGAAAGGACTAGCCATCCCCTCCATGCATTGCTGTGGCCCAGTCTGGTGATCTGGAAATAAAGTAATGAGAAAGTGTTGGTTTCTAATCTATGTAATTTCTTTATGCTTGTGGGTAAACAGTATTTCTTGCTGTTTCTTTGTCAGTGTTGATGTGGAGATTGTCTGGTTTGTCTACTCTGGAACATGCAACATATAATTGTCCTTCTTTAGGGGTCCTTTTCAAATCTATGATACTATATCTGTGTGTGTGGGAAATCATATCTATCTATCTATATCTATGGCTGGATGGCTCTTTGTCAGGAGGGCTCTGATTACATTTTCTTGCCCTGGTGAAGGGAGTTGGACTGGATGGCCTTAAGTATTTTCTGTTGGTCATGGGGGTTCTGTGTGGGAAGTTTGCCCCAATTCTGTTGTTGGTGGGGTTCAGAATGCTCTTTGATTGTAGGTGAACTATAAATCCCAGTAACTATAACCCCCAAATGTCAAGGTCTATTTCCCCCAAACTCCATCTGTGTTCATATTTGGGCATATTGAGTATTAATGCCAAGTTTGGTCCAGATCCATCATTGTTTGAGTCCACAGTGCTCTCTAGATGTAGAACTACAACTCCCAAACTCAAGGTCAATGCCCACCAAACACTTCCAGTATTTTCTGTTGGTCGTGGGAGTTCTGTATGCCAAGTTTGGTTCAATTCCATCGTTGGTGGAGTTCAGAATGCTCTTTGATTATAGGTGAATCCCAGCAACTACAACTCCCAAATGACAAAATCATAATTTTTTGAGTGATGGCCACTCCTTGTGTACTGAGAGGTTTTGTTGCAAAATTTAGTGTGATTTCGTTCATGGGTTCTTTTGTTTTTAAGGAACTCATTATGCACAGAGCATATTTATATATATAGATAAGCCAATTGCTCTCAAAGGCGTTACTGGATTCCTGTATGTCTTCTGAAATAAAAATCATTGTATGTTACTCCAACTTCTCCACAAACCAACCCAACCAACCAATGAGAGCCCTTGGATTCATTGGGGGTGTGACAATTAAAATATCATTTACTGCATGCTGGCATACAAAAATGCCTGGACTTCAAGTCAATCACTGCGGTTGTCATTTCCACTGCAGAGGAGCCAGAACGTTAAAGCCACGGCCTTGGAAAGATAAGTGTTGGGAATATAATTTCCAGAATCTCTGAGGCAGAGTGACCGATGGCCATGGTTGACTGGAGGAGCCTGGAAGTCAAAGTTGGGAAAAGTATCATTTCCAAGTGCTAAGTCTAAGGCACAGTCTCAGCTTCCACAGGGAAGGTTGATAGGTTTGGCCCACGTTGTCTGGAAATTGCTTGTGTGACCCTGTCCTCTTCTCCAGTTCCATCCTGATGTGGCAGACAATCAAGAGTTTTGTAGTGTGGAAAGCAGGGAAGGCACAAAATAATATTCCTTCCTTGCAAAGAGCAGCCTAAAGCATAGGCACTTGGCCATCGTTTAAGACTCTTCTTGGTTATCTCTCTTACACTCACTTGAAAACACAGAACAAGACAAAACAAAGCCACAGTGAATTTTGAATTTATTGGATTAAAAAAACAATTTATTCTGCATTTAAACATATTTAGAACCCAAAGTGAAAATAGAAACAGCTCAATGTAAACACAATACAAACAGCAACCGTTTAAAACCTCCCCCCACCCCCCACCCCCGGCATAGATGCCTTTAAACATTAAAATGTTGTTCTTCAGATCTGTATATCTCAAGAGAGATGGCCGACCCACAACGGGGACAGGGTTCAGTGTCACCATTGGGATCCTTGGGCATGACCATGATTATCCGAGGGAATCCGTTGAATCTAAACCAGCATTTCTCGCTGAGAATCAAGATGGCGCTTGTGATCTGGAACCCCGAAGAAGAAATCCCCACGAAGATGGAAGACCCGATCTCCTGCTCATAGGGAAGATAGGGCAAATCATAACCTTCGGGGAACACAATCCCTTCTTTGACCAGGACAGACTGCATATTCCACAAAAGTGGGATCAGCATGATTAAGCCAGAAAATAAATTGAGAAGTCCCCCAAACCAGAAAAAAGTAACCAATACAATTTTAGGTTTCCCTTTCTGGAAAAGCTTCCATAAGGAAAAAAACCCACAAAAACTAGACCTAAGGATCCCACAATGCAAGCTAAGGACATCAAGTTCTGCGCAACAAAAACTTCAATGGGGAGGGACCACTGTTTGTCTAAAAACTCCAGGCACTGCC